CACACCCAGACAACTACGTGAGAAATTTCTGTCTTGTCGAGTGTGGGCTCTATCATTTGCAGAAGAACCTCTGTCTCTATAATACATTCATATATAGTCTTTAATCTAAATGGGTTCTGTGTCTTAAGGCACTAACTTTTGCATGAAGATTTTTATATTGATGAATCAAGAGGAAATTTTTCAGCTCTGGATCCCAAAAAGCTTAAACACACACACACACACACACACACACACACACACACACACACACAACCTTACCTCCTGAGAATAAGATAGGTCCTTAGGCATATTTTATCTTAGGAATACTAAATAGCAGAGAAGAGTTCACTAATAGCACCCTGGCCTTGCCCAGTCCGCATGCCTTAGTTTAGCATCAACTAATAGTCACAGTTCAATTCCTGGTCAGGGCACATTCCTGGGTTGTGGGCTTGAGCCTCAGTAGGGGGCGTGCAGGAGGCAGCCGATCAATGAGTCTCTCTCATTATAAATGTTCCTCTCTCTCTCCCTCTCCCTTCCTCTCTGAAATCAATAAAAATATATTTTTAAAAATATATTTTTATTTTTAAAAGTGTTGGCAAATGTACCTCCTTGCGCCTCTTTATAAAAATACTAAGAAAAATCTGACAGTGACCCAGTAAAAGCCTCATTTTGCAGCAAATAAGCAACGAGACAAGTACAAACCCCAACAAAACCCTGTTGCAAAATGAAGCAGCCTAGTGGTGATTGCTTATCCCATTGTATAGAATTGTTGGGAGCTATCCACTTTGATCATTGCTAAGTACGTTTATACCGAGTCAATGTGACCAGATTCAGCTGAACAGAATTTAATGAAAGCTAGAAAATAATATTAATATTGGGATTTCCCTTAGTTTTTCCAGGCACTTGTTCCACGCGCACACGTATTCAGTCCCAATCTGTGTGTAAAAACGGTCAGGACACAGCCTCTGTGTTCAATGACGCATCAGGCTCCGGAGACGCCAGGGAGCTGACGGCCTCCCGGTGTGTCTAAGAGTCACAGGGACCCAGCCTCCCTGAATGATGTGATTTGAACAAATTTTCAAAAGATGATTAAGAATCCACCTGTCAGGAGAAGACATTCAGGTGTGAGGAAAAGCATTTAGAAAAATTGACTGAAAAAGAAAATATGGGGGAAAACCCCCTTTTTTAATTTTCTTTATTGATTACGGTATTACATATATGTCCTTATCTTCCCCTTACCCCCCCCCCGCCCCCCGCCGCTCATGCCCTCACCCCCCTGGTGTCTGTGTCCATTGGTTGTGCTTATATACATGCATACAAGTCCTTCGGTTGATCTCTTCCCCGCAACATTATAGCCTGTGGTTTCCTGGCTTTTGGAGGAAATGACAAACAATTATTCTAAAAAGGTGGGCTGGACAGCGGGGCTTTGTGTGACATGCTCAGTGGCGTGTCTGATCACATATACACACATGTGGCAAGGTAGCAAGCTTTCCTCTAAGCATCCACCACTTAGCACAGTGCAGGCACACGCCATTATCATCACTGTCATCGTGATCATCGATAACAATAACATTATGATTCAAACCTATTGACAGATTCCTCTCCACAACTGAAACAATGCAATTGACAACCTTCCTGTTTCTCCATGGGGGGAGGGGAGGAAGGGAATCTGATTATATTACATTTATCATAAAAATGTTATAATATTTTAATTTACTTTAACACTAACAGGCAGCACATTTCCTATAAAGTGATTTAAGATTTCCTCAAGCATGCATCTCCCTTGCACATACATCAAATGGAATTAGTATGTTCATCTAATATATCTGTATCCATTTAAGTAATCTCAATACAGTGGTATGTGTTAGTTTTCCTACATTCTGTTTCTCTTTCCATTGCTACACATTCTGCATTTGTGCACAGAGCACCGGTTCCTCTCTGTACCAAAATAAATGCCTGACAAAGGCTACTTTTCCCTGTCATTCTGTGATGTCTGCTGTCCTAGACATGCTCAAATGAGCTTTTCACTTCTGGATCCTCAGTTATTCCATACCAATGGATCATTTTTTTCTTTAACAAAACATTATCCAGCTTTAATAATGGTCCATTTTAAAGATGTTTTCAAATCAGGTAAATGAGTCCTCATCATTGTTGTTTAAAAAATTATATTTTTATATTATTTGTTTTTACTTCTTATTAACCCACTTCTTCCAAATGAAAGATTAGAAGAATGGCAGAGATGAGCAGAGAACTGTAGAACATACAGCCATAACACGGTTTAATAAATAGTGTTGTTGACTCTCTGATCAGCATCACTGCCACTCACTGAAATACAAAGCCTACCTTGAGTATTGCTTTTCTTTTATAAAAAAAAAGGAACAAAGTTCAGAAACGTGTTCAGTAATACGGAGCCAGACCATAGGAATACTTTGGAGATGAGTTCATGAACACGCATGCGGTCATAACAAGTTACTTTCTCCTCCAAGATCCGTGAAACGGGCTTGATGATTAACACCTGGCTTTGCAAGGACAGTCACTGTGCCCGCACTCGCACTGTGGAGAAGGCAGGATTTTACCGTCAGTCATTTCACGATAAGAATATGCACAGCCCTAGGCTCAGAATTACCACCCTGAAGGGCTGAGAACAGCTGTTGCCTACACACTTCGATATTTTTCTTTTGACTCAGAATCTGGCACGGGGAAATTACAGGAGCTCCGCAAACAAAAACAACTGAACGCAATTATATACACAAACCTCCTCCACTGAAGAACAATTCACACGTCTTTAACGATGTGCTTTTGTTATTCTGTTTTTTCCTGTGAGTAGACGGCACCTAATGGTGTCCTAGTAAATAAGTTTAGAAGACTGTTAGGTTCCTCTGCTTAGACTAGTTTTGCCTCTTATGAAGCAATGTTACACTCTGAAGCCATCGGATATGTCCAGCTTTGTGTAAGGCGCATTATATACCCTGAACAGACACAGTTCTGTTTTCTTGGGACTTATATTCTAAGAAAGTTGACTTTAATATGAAGATGAAAACAAGAGGGAAAAAAATGACTATCTACTTATAAAAAAGATAAAGCAGGCGTCTGCAGGGTACATGTTTGCACGCCAAAGTGTTTCACACATAATGAGTGCTCACTCGGTCCTCTTTACTGCCTGGCAAGGACGTGCGAGTTCCATGAAGCAGGCATATAACTGGAACTAACTGCAGGAAATGAAAAGTTTACGCTTTCCCAGATTTCAGAAAATGTTCTGCGACTGAATGTCATAATTCAGGAGCAAGTGAGCAACTTGAATT